CTCTTTCTCTCTTTCTCTCTCTCAAAATAAATAAACTTGAAAAATGTCCCAGGGGAAATCCCGGACAGAAAGAACACTGGATAAGGAGTGGGACAGTCAGTGTTCCGCTCCCAGTTGCACTATGTAAATGCTGTGTGTCGTTAGGAAGTTCGTTCAACCTTTCTGAGCCCTCTTTTCTTACCTGTAACTCAGGAGGTGAGGTGGGAATGACTCCTGCTCTGCCCGTTTTGAGGGGCTGCAGCCAGCCAGTCCGCTGTGCTGGCTGGGCTGGTAGAAGCGGGTTACTTCCTGACGGCTGGGTGGGGGGCTCTCCTTGCAGTGACAGTGATGAGGAGGAGAGCACCAAGGAAGACAACACCGCCCTCCTGCGCTCCCACCTCAAATACGAGGCTGATGTCCTTTTCACCAGGTGGGTGGGACCCCGGGGGAGGGGAGGCCTGAGAGAAGTGAGGCCTAAGATGGGGTACCCCAGGGGGGGCCCTGATAAGGCCAGAGGTCTCAGGGGCCGGGCTCCAGTGCCCAGGGACTGTGAGCCGGAGCCAGGGGTGTCCCTGAGGGGTGGGAGGGTGCAGCCCCCTCATCCGTGGTGGGCGGGTGCTATCAAAATAGCGGAAGGAGGAGACAAAGATCTGGTCTCCAGGGAGCTCCCGGCAGGGGCAGGGGAGGAGGGCGAGGGCCAGGGCAGCCAGAGGTGTCCACTCCAAGTTCAGGCAGTGAGTGGGAGCATGATCTGTAGAGACTTTTAAAATAGTAATAAAACCTACTGACAGCCCATCTGCTTTCCCTGACCATCTTGCACCTGCAACTCTAAACAGCCAAATTGAGAAAACGCTCCCCGCAGGGCAAACTGCTCCCACCATCCTGTCCGGTCGTCCACTCCCCTCCGGGTACCACCGGCCCCCAGCCTGTCCTCTGGGAGCTCCCAGGCGGATGAAGCTGTAATAGCGACCACAGAGAAAGCAAGCTCAGGCCCTCCCTCGGCCACTGCTAGAGGCTGGAAAGGGGCGTAGTGGGCGAGTTTGTGCTCCAAAGAGGCCAGGCCCCGGGACAGGGATGTCAAATAATGCCCTTCTGGTTCATGCCCGTCCCACACAGGAGGATGTTGCTAACTGATCTCAGCGTGCATTCCTCTGAGCCTCAGAATCCTTCCTGACACGGCTCTCCCGATGGACGCAAGAGGAAACCTATTTTTTGTGGTCAAGGAGAGCCAGGCACATGCCCACACCCTCTTTCGTTCAGTTATCCATCTAGCCAACGTTGACTGAGCTCACGGCGGCCCTGTCCTCTGTCCCTGCAGGAGCAGCAGCCTGAGCCACTACGAGGTCAAGCCCAATAGCTCACTGGAGAGGTATGATGGCATCGGGCCTCCCTTCAGCTGCGTTTTCAAGGTAAGAGCCGAGGAACCCCCGTTTGGGAGGGGAGGAGTCTGGAATCATTGCTAGTGCCTGGGGTTCGGCCCAACCCTGTCACCCACTCACTGTGTGATTTTAGGCAAGTTCCTTCCCCTCCCTGGGCCTCGTCCAGAAAATAATGGGGCTGGACTGTGAGGATGTATCAGTGAAGGTTAAGTGCGGCTGCATAGGATTTAAAAAATGTAAAAAAAAA